AACAGGTAAAAATAATAATTGTTATAAACTGGATTAATTTTTTACGATTTTTAAAAGACTGTGGAACATTTTTATCCACGTTATCACTTCCAGCAGGATAACCATTTTTATGAAGATCACGAATCCATTCTTGAATTTCACTGTCCTGTTAAAAAAGTTTTTATAAAAGTTTAGTAAAATGTGTCTTTGTATCTATTTTGCGTTAAGAAGTATGTTTCAAGACTTAAAGGAGAAAAAAAGAGTTTTCTTTAGATTAATACTATAATTAGAAATGAGCCTAAAGATTTTATTTTTTTACTTCATGTCGACGCAGCGATGTTGTTTGAACTGCAAACCTTTTTAAAAACGTTACCTTGTATTCAAGAAGAGAGAAATTTTCACAATTTCTTAATTGCCAGAAACATTTATCAAATTGTTTTTAAAAGTGATTAAATTCTTTAATAAAACAGAAGTTACAAGCGGAGAAATAAACTCGTTCATTTACAAAGGAAAAATATATTCCTGCAACTTATGAGAAATAATTTAAAATATTAATTTCGTTGCTTTTTGTGACTGAGTGTAATTTGGCGTATTGTAAGTCAATGCAACCTGCCTGAAAGTTTCATACAATTGTTTGTTTTTAAAAAACTTGGGAAAATATAGCTATGTCTTGTGTCTCATGTTTTCTAAAATGCATTTGCATTACTTTACGTAGCTTTGCATGATTTTGAAAATTAGCTCCATTAGAAGAAATTTGCAAAACAAACCTTTTTAACGTCATCATCTTTCTTGTAATATATGTTTATGATGTCACTAACAAACACTTTAATGGCATTCCATAGTAAAACTTTCGAAGATCCTTCACACCTCTTTTCTCGAAAACATTTTCCAAATCAAAACTGTCAAAGGTCAAGCTTCTGTAGTGTTCTTGCATCAACTTAATATGACCACCACCACCAATACTAAGCACTTTATCTGCAAGACCACCTTCAGGAATCAGTGTTTTACGTCCCAGCGTGTTGATTGCCATGATTCCTTTTGTGTGAGGGAGTAACAATTTCCACACGGGATGAACTGATGGGAGCTTTCTCTACGCTGAAACAGCTGGTGCCTCCATAATTAAATGACAACGTAGCAAATGAGATATCATCTTAAATTAAAAAAGATTGCCTAACATTAAATCAAGACAATAACAATGGCTTTTCTATAGTAAATAAATAACGGTTGCCTTCTTCGCAATCTTCCACAATAATAGAGTATCTTCTTTCATGCTACTATTTTGCTATGATACATTTGCTTTTCACTTTTAATTAATGAATTATAAAGACGTGTCTACCCAACGAAAAAAGTCATAAAATAATATGAATAATATGCTATATGTCCCTGTTCACCACGATAACATAAAAAGATTGTAACGACTTTTATCATCATGTACATGAGGACAGCCTTTACCAATGTCATTTTATCGCTTCAGTGGTAGAAGCTTTTAATTTTTGTTTCATAGACAGTCAGACCACTTTGTATCCTGTTTTCCTTAAGTGCACATAACAGGACCTTTAACAAATTGAACAAAACTACTCTGAAAGTATTTATCGTAAACTGCTCTGAAGTATTTGGTAGTAAAAATGTCTTGTTTCACATCCGTCTTTATTGCATTGTTTTTTTGTTGAAGAATAGTACGGAACATGACTGTTTATAAATTTCCTAGGAGTCAGACTCCTTAGAGCACACAGAGATGTGTACCAAATAGAGTGTACATTGCAACGTTAAGCTTTTCATTTGGATTATTTTTAATTCAACTTGTCAGTTATAAAAAGTATTGATATAATTCAACTTTATTGAACAAAGCTACATGCACATCACCTGGCGAAGCTACAGGTGCTTTAAAACATTGGGCATTTGTATAAATTAAGTGAATTATTAATAGTGATGATAAAACAAATGTTACATACTTGATAATATTGTGTGTCAGCTCAACGAAGCCACAATTTTGCCATTAGCCAATCCTATTGAGTATCTTCTGAGAGATACCATATTGGATTGTCATCGGAAACCTGTTGATCCAACTGGATAGCAATGGGTACCAAGTCATCATTCTTTCTAAGATAAAATAAACCTAATGGTGCTGTCCGGTAGCGCTTTTCACCAGGTTTGTCCATCATTGGAATACCCTCAAGAATCTTGTAATCAACAATATAGATAAGCCCGTCCTTTATATGAAATAAAAAAAAATTTCATGATATTTTAATATTTTTGCAGTTAATGCGGTCTTCCTTAAAACTGTACATAGCACAACTGCAAAACACAATTTCTGAAAAAACGTACATGCAAAACACAACATAAGTAATAGCTCAGCAATTCACAAACTTTTCAAAGTTTTTAAAATCATAGCGAGAGATGTGCCAGGTGGAGATTAATTATCTTTATAATTATGATATCCCAACATAAGAATTTTCCTTAAACCATTACGCAAAAACGTTATAAATGATTTTTTTTATTTTTGACGTTTCGTCTTTAATTTAAGTTATGTTCAAACATGAAAATATGTTAACTTAGGAACAAATCGTCATCGAGAAAAAAAACTTTTATTTTTAATTGATATGCATAAAGGCAATTTTAAACTTATTTGTTATATTTTAAAATTCAAATTACCGCACTTACGCAAAAAAATATAGAAAGTTGTGAAATAATTAAAACTTCGAAAAAAATATTTGAGCACGGGTGTATCGTTAGACGTTTGTAGATGTAGATCGTGCAGGTTACTAAAGTCCTGAGAAAGAGTGACGTTTACTATCGTTTTGACAACATTATAGCGGTAGTCATCTAATGAAAAATCGATGAAGTCATCAAATAAATGATGATAATGCAGAGAGATTTTCAACAACCAACAAATACTTTTTTTGCGTATTTTGCTACGGTAATATGCTTTGAACTTTTAATGGTGCAAAACCAATGACATGTTTACGGTTTAGGTTGTACTAAGCGTTGAAGTGTTCGTTAAAAAGGAAGTAAATTACTAATGCAAAAAAAGAGTACAAAGATGATCAATTATAAAACATATATACGACTGCTTTTAGTGAGATACTGTCGTGATTTTACAGATCTCCAAAAATTTGATGAAAATATTTTGCGGGCAAAAGAGCTAATAGCCAAAAGGGATTGTTCAAGAAAATAAAAAAATTAATTTTGCAAGTTTTAAATTTTTGTTCTATGCAATGGTAAATAGCTACATGTATTTCTTTTTTAATGATCAATTTTGGATTTTTAATGCAAAAGGGAATTTTTACTAAATTTTCTTTTTGCATGCGTGAAAGAACTCACAATCCTTTACGTGGATTTAGTCATTCATATTAAATAAAAGGGAGAAACTGGAAAATTTATAAAGAAACCGATGGAGGGCTTGATAAATGATTAAATAATATCTGCTTTCTACAGATTCTGCAATGATTCAAAGTTGTTGTAAAGCTAATTTTATTACTTTCTCAGTTTAACTTTAGTTTCGTGAAACAGACTGATGCAAATTTGATAAGTAATAATAAACCCCTAAAGTCTTAATTGAAAAGAACACGTCACCTTTATGGCTTTCTTCAGGGTATATCCACGATCCAATAACTTTTCCACCTTTTCACTTTGCACAGGAAAGTTTTTAGGAAGCTCATGACATCTTTGTATAACTTCTGGATTAGAGCCGTTTAAAAATTGTGCTCCAAACCAAACGTCATCTCTCCAATATTCAGCTGCATTAGGAAGACCACTGTCAATTGCAGGAGTTATAAATTTTTGATAGTCTTCTAACGAGTCCCACGCCTCAAAAACCTTAAAAAAATGTGCAAAGCCCCGAATTTGAAAAACTTACAAAGCAACGGAGAACAAGGAAAGAAGATCTGAACCAGCAAACTGCACGTCTAAAGGCAAATTTTTTGGACTTTCGTCTTCTACGGCAACAAATCCCGGTAGATCTTTTATATAATCAGGATTATTTCCCCATTTGTAGATATTCCTATTTTTCTGAACCTCTATTTTTCGTTGCTGTTTGACCACTTCGACATTGTTAGGAGAATTGGGCAAAATGACTGAAATTCATAAAGCATTTTGCAATGCATTAGCTATCTCTGTAATTAATAAAGGAATAAAATGGCCATTAAATACATTTTATATTAGTGAATACCAAAATACAAATGATGTACAGCATAATTTTGTAAGCATTATTTTGTTTAAAAAACAAGATTTTCGGAATAGTAACATACATTAAAAATTTTCTTAATTCTGATTGGTTTGGAGCAGGGCAATTCATCATCAATATCAGGGCAAAAAGAAAGAAACAGATTGAAAAAAAAAAGAAAAGATATTTATTATAGAAAAGTGCTCCTAATTAGTAAGTCTAGCAAATAAGTGATCCAAAAGAGCCAATCAGAACACAAAAATTTAAAGGCAGGAATGTTAAATTTTTATAAACAAAGCATATACAATCTCCCGCGTCAGTTTTAAATAGATTTTCTTTGGTAACCGAGTTTACACTTTACTAATTGAAAGACTTTCTTCACAAAAACGTAAGCATTGCTAAAAATTCAATGTTCTAGCATCATTTTTGGGAGCTATGGTGTTCTAAAAAGTAATATCTGAAAGAATTAAAAAGTAGTTGATATTAATAATTTGCCGTAGCTGCGTATGCTTGAAAAATAGTATAGAATAACTTTCATGTATATTTTTAGGTAATGAGTAGCCAATAGCGTATTTTCTTGTACAATCTGAAAAACAAGGACCAGAGAGTTTTTCAAAAACTTTAAATTTTTTCCTTATGTTTTCTATTTTTTACAACATCATTTACGACAACGAAGTGTTTCTGTAAATATGATAAATATGATGAACACATGAACAGAAATCAAGAGCGTCATCAGCTCCTTGTCAAAATATTCATAATTACAACTGATGTTTTGTTCACAGGGTGATCGCTCAAGCACTATGACAGACATGAGCATGAGTTCAAACATTAATCCTCGTATATCGTTACTTCGAAGTTCGAAGCGAAGCTCAACAGCTGATGCCATCTTTGAAAAAGAATTCAAAAAAAACAGCAAAAAATACAACGCATTGAAATGTTAGTGTAACTGCTCATTATTCTTCAATTTTTTTCATAATGTTGCTATAAATGTGCTTGCCATCCTGTAATCTGCTACAGAAATGTATGTGTCATCATTAGATCTGTCTTGAATACATCTCTTTTCTCACGTGATCAGTTATATATACACATCAGTATGCAGAACTGTATCGAGTCACGTGATCGTAGACATGCTTCCAAGCCACATCCCATAGTCAACCATACAGAAATGTATGCTATACTGTTTTAAATTGAGAGATTTATCTATCTAGAAAATCTTGTGATCACCTCACAAGACATCTGTGCTATCATGTAATTAGCCATAGAATATACATCGTAGAATTTACATAGAAGAACCGAGCTCACTCTTATTTTTTCTATTCAGTTATTTCTTACACTGTCCGCGTGCTCACTTCAGAGGAAAAAGGAAGTGGGACCGAGGCAAATGTTTACATCGTTATAATTGGTACTGAGGCGTGTACAGAAAAGATTGACCTCGAACTTGTTCAAAAGACAGGATTTGAACCTGGTACTGCTGAAACTTTCTCAATAGAAGGCGTCGACGTTGGTGATATTAGAAAAATTGAAATTGGTAAGTGGAAGCATATTTATATACATATTCAATAAATTACTCAGTAATGAAAAATGTATAATGATTAGGTCATAATGGGTTTTTGGCCAAAGATGCTTGGTATCTCAAAGAAGTGGATATTGATGTTCCAAAACGTGGCAAGTGTATCATTTCCCGTGCAAACGCTGGCTGGCGAAAGATAAAGATGATGGACTGACGGCTCGTATTCTTACTCTTAATGATGGTGATCAAATTTCTTACAAACCATGTGAGTCGTCGTTCAAACTTGACTAGATTTCCTATTGTTGTGTCGGTGTCATGGATTTTCTATTGTTATTATACCAAGACAACATGTAAAATTTTCAAATGTAAAGTTGACTTTATCATTGTTGACAATTTCTCTTTGTGCATTTAACTTTTAGTTATTCTTTATGAGATCACTGTATTTACTGGTGACATAAAGGATGCTGGTATTGATGGTGATGTCACTATGACCATGTATGGCAGTGAGGGCGCCACGTCCGAAGTGAAACTTGAGAAGGGAGACGAAATGTTTGAACGAAATGGAACTGACTTATTTCGAATGGAACTGGAAGATGTTGGTAAATTGTGTAAGCTGAGGATTGGTCATAAGGGGAAAGGAAACAGAAATGAATGGTTCTTAGATAAGGTGAATAATATAGTTCAAATTGAAAGTTTTCTTACCTTAAGTATCTTCTATAACAACAATGACACTGGTATCAACTACCATCAACTATTTCAACCATTACGTAATTTTTGACCACACAATTGTCAACTACCATCAACTATTTCAACCATTACGTAATTTTGAACACACAAATGTCAACTACCATCAACTATTTCAACCATTACGTAATTTTTGAACACACAAATGTCAACTACCATCAACTATTTCAACCATTACGTAATTTTTGAACACACAAATGTCAACTACCATCAACTATTTCAACCATTACGTAATTTTAACCACACAATTGTCAACTACCATCAACTATTTTAACCATTACGTAATTTTTGACCCCACAATTGTCAACTACCATCAACTATTTCAACCATTACGTAGTTTTTGACCCCACAATTGTCAACTACCATAAACTATTTCAACCATTACGTAATTTTGACCCCACAATTATCAACTACCATCAACTATTTCAACCATTACGTAATTTTTGACCCCACAATTATCAACTACCATCAACTATTTCAACCATTACGTAATTTTTGACCCCACAATTGTCAACTACCATCAACTATTTCAACCATTACGTAATTTTTGAACACACAAATGTCAACTACCATCAACTATTTCAACCATTACGTATTTTTGAACACACAAATGTCAACTACCATCAACTATTTCAACCATTACGTAATTTTTAACCACACAATTGTCAACTACCATCAACTATTTTAACCATTACGTAATTTTTGACCACACAATTATCAACTACCATCAACTATTTCAACCATTACGTAGTTTTGACCCACAATTGTCAACTACCATCAACTATTTCAACCATTACGTAATTTTTGACCCCACAATTATCAACTACCATCAACTATTTCAACCATTACGTAATTTTGACCCACAATTATCAACTACCATCAACTATTTCAACCATTACGTAATTTTTGACCCCACAATTGTCAACTACCATCAACTATTTCAACCATTACGTAATTTTGACCCACAATTATCAACTACCATCAACTATTTCAACCATTACGTAATTTTTGACCACACAATTGTCAACTACCATCAACTATTTTAACCATTACGTAATTTTTGACCACACAATTATCAACTACCATCAACTATTTCAACCATTACGTAGTTTTTGACCCCACAATTGTCAACTACCATCAACTATTTGAACCATTACGTAATTTTTGACCCCACAATTATCAACTACCATCAACTATTTCAACCATTACGTAATTTTGACCCACAATTATCAACTACCATCAACTATTTCAACCATTACGTAATTTTGACCCCACAATTGTCAACTACCATCAACTATTTCAACCATTACGTAATTTTTGACCCCACAATTATCAACTACCATCAACTATTTCAACCATTACGTAATTTTTGACCACACAACTCCGTATATACCTTCAATTGTCTACAAGTCCATACTTAACTCTGAGTTTAACAACATTCTTTTCTCATCAGGTTATAGTTCGAAATGATTTCACAGGTTCTGTTAGTGTATTTAAATGTAATTCTTGGCTAACTCCTGGAGATTTGGTCAAAGAACTACCTGCTATTACTGACGGAGAGAAAAAAGTCGAAAGTAAGTTTAGAGATCATAGTGAGAAATTTAGAAACTTATTTTTGATATTAAGATTATTTTAAGCTCTAGAAGTATTGTTTTCTTTTAGTTTTGGTAATAGATCGTCTCATTTGAACAACTTGGCTAGCTTTAAATTATTGTTTTAACTTTTATTGTTTAATGTCTGCTCTTATGTTGAAACTTATGGCTAGCAAAATTTGCCCAACGAAATAAATTAAACTTTATTCATGGATAAAAAGCTAATCTTTTTTTATCTCCTCACTGGAATGAAAGTAAGATTCATTAATTGAAAAATGTTGAATTTTTTCTTTCATTATTATAATGTTACACTCGTTATGTTGCAAAATGTAAGGATTAATTGCTTTAATTTCTATATTATTCCATCTCACTTTCGTAAATCTTATCTTTAATTCAAATTCATATTTAACATTGGGGGATTGTAGAGTCCGGATTAGAATCTAGTGACAGTTATATTTTGTTTCTAAACAGAGACGTCATATAAACTAAATGTAATAACGGGTGATGTTGGTGGCGCAGGGACAGATGCAAATGTTTGTATCATAATCTTTGGTGAACATGGCGACTCAGGTGAAATAGCTCTGAAAAAGTCTGAAACTTACAAAGATAAGTTCGAACGAGGTCATACTGATGTCTTTTTACTCCAGGACATACTAAGTTTGGGTTTGTATTAATGTAAATTTGTAATTGAACAATGTTTACATTGGATAAAATCATTGCTTGCATTAATAATTTAATTAAAATCTTCATTTTCAATGCCATTCTTCTTCTTCGTTCAAGGTGAACTAATTAAAGTACGAATATGGCATGATAACAAGTTCCCAAAAGCTAGTTGGTATTTAGAAAGAATAAATATTGAAGATGAAACAACAAAGAAATTTTATGAATTTCCCTGTGATCGTTGGCTAGGCAAGGACAAAGATGACGGTAGTTTAGTTCGAGAATTGGCATGTGCTAATAGAGATGAAGCTACCGACTCTCCAGTTGCTGGTAAAACATTTTCAACTAACTGGAAATCTTGTTTGCCTTGTGTAAAATACTTTGTCTTTTTTTATAGCATTTGAAATAACCCTTTTGACGAGTGATAGACAGAATGCAGGTACCAATCAGAACGCGTCCATCGTCTTAGTTGGGGAAAAGAGGAAATCGCAGGTTCTTCACATTGAAAACAATTCGAAAAATAAACTTCTCAGACGTGGAAACACTAACACATTTAAATTTGTAACCAAACCTCTGGGAAATCTCATTGAAGTTATTATTGGACATCACCCAAAGCTTGGAGCAAAACTTTCTGAGAAAGAAACATCATGGTATTTACATGAAGTAGTGGTAAAAAACACTGACACCGGTGAAAGGTAATGAAGCATTTGACTATTTGTTTTATATGTTACACATTTGTTATTTTACTCATCTTTTAATGTACTTAGTAACACTTATTGATGTATAGGTTTGCATTGCTTTTTGTTTAATTTCAGATTTGTATTTCCTTGCCGTCAATGGATACCACTTTCTTCAAGCAAAGATGACAGAGTTATATTGGAGTGTAAAACAGCTGAACGATCAAGGCTATCTGTAAAACGAGGTACACACATTTTTATGTTGATTATTGTCAACTCTGAATGTCTATCGTTCTCAACTGAGATATTGTCAACATTCCTTAGATGTTATTTCGCTGCAAATGTTGGATATAAACATGTTTTTCATAGTAGAGATATTTTAAAAAATGTTTAGATAGAGATGCTTTTCATGGCATTATTTTAAATTTCATCAAAAACCTTAATTTTGGAAAAACTGCGTCACAATCCAATTGTTTTTTTCTTTATATATTTCAGAGCTTCAAGCCATGAAGTACGAGGTGGCAGTTTTTACCGCTGACGTTCTTCATGCGGGCACCGATGCTAATGTTACAATTGTGATATACGGAGAAAATGGTGATACTGGTCCACGGAGGTTATCGAAAAAAATAGTGAATTTATTTGAGCGTGGTCAAAAGGATTGCTTTATTATTGAAGCACTAGATTTAGGTCAACTAAAGAGATTACGTATTGAACATGATAATAAAGGACTTGGAGCTGGTTGGATGCTTGATAAAGTAGAAATCACCAACTTAGAAAGTTCTGAAGTTACGATTTTTCCGTGTAATCAATGGTTTGATAAGAAAAAAGGTGATGGTTTGATTTCTCGAGAACTCTTTCCCACAAATGCTACATGAAGTACTCGATTTTGCTGTCTGTTATTCTTCTAATTATTTATTCTGGCATTATGTCAGCCATATAAGGGACCCTTTGATGTGCAAATTCTTTATGGCTATGGTTTACCATTTCATCTTTCTTGTTCGTTAAAAAGGCAATAGACTGGCTGCCATGATGATAATCGTGTAACATGCAATCATATAATCACTTTTTGTTTCATTTCAAATCACCGTATTTCTTCGCCTCCCTCTAGTAAACGCCCCGGCGTTTATTAAAATGACTGCCAAAGAAACTCTTCGACGAAGTTAAATTTTCTATTGTAATAATTTTTGTAAATATTTTTAATCAATAAATGTCATTTTAAAGATTTATATTTAGACTGACATTGCTGCCATTGTCAGTATTGAAAGACCGTTGTTTGTTCCCATCATGCCAATGTTATCATGTACATTCACTGGAACTACAGTGAATGGAATTGATTCTCTTTAGACATAAATAATAATTTTACTAAAATTTTTCATTTATCGAATAAACATTTCAGCCGGTTTCGCCATTGATATTGTTGTACATTACTTCTTGTACAACCCCACCCCCAAAGAATGAGAGAGTGTACTAAACTATAACATGCAATCATATCGAACCATTTTTTCCATGACAAAATAATGGTTTACATTCAAACTGTGAATTTAACCTTGAAATTTGCAAAATTTCTATGAAATTTTTGTAAAACGTAGCCACTTTTCTGTTTTTGTGGGCTTGTGGGAAGCCCATGTTTACATGATCGATGAAAGCAAGTAATCAGTACCTACGGGTCTTTAGGATAAGAAAAAAGCTGTGGGCTTTTAAGTGATATCCATCACTCCACCACAATAAGTTTAGTCTCTGACGTCTTTGTATTTCTCAAGCTCCTTTGCCTTTGCATCATGGCTTGTGTTGGTAACTCATTGTATATAAACAATAGGGAATTAATATTAAGTTCGAACTGGGAAAACCATCTACTTCATGAGTTCTGAGCATCGTTCATTTGAACAGTAAATCATACGGTTTTGAACAGCATAAATGGTCTAAATTAAGCCCAACGAGCTAGTCAGGAATAGAAAGAACTAAACAATTATTATGTCTAGATACAACATGCCTGTGTAGGCTTAAGGTATCTTGCCCTGTGGATAATCTGCCACTGCTTTAGTTTTCGTTATAACAACAAAATCTCTCTTTGCATAAATATAAATGTTGCTGAAGAATTCTAGTCAGAATAATGGAGTTATTCATTAACTTTTGCTTTGAATTTATAACTCCAGCTTACTTTATGTTACGTATCATTCCTTGATACAGATGTAGCATAGGTTATAATTTACAACTTTACAATAACATCTAGAAAAATTATTTCAGAGGGGGTAAGGACTACGCCCCCCTATCCTCCGCGGGTTTTTTGTTTGATTTTAAAAATCAAAAAAAAATAAACAAACAAAATGCTTTAATGTAATTTTTCATTTGTCTTAATTCAATGATTTACTAATAAAATATTAACGTCTGAAGAAAAAAAATCAAAAAGAGAAATAACAACTAATTTGTAAGCACAGACTTTACCTAACGCTGGTATTGTTATACATATAAACAATAATTAAGTACCAGAACATGTTTCCAATTTGGTCATGCATGCATGTAGATAAAGTATTGACAATTTTAAACACTTTTTTGAAACATTTTTACTATTCTAAAGTAGGATTTTGTGTACCCTTTGCAACCTGAATTTTAAAATCTTTATCACGTTTATTGTGCAAAATCAGTTAAATGATCTAACTATAGTATCATCCTCTCGCATTAGAAACTCGCCTATCATATCTTAATTTATATTTATAAATATAATTTACTCAACACCAACGATACAAGATTCTACATAAGTGAGTAATTTGACTACGCAATTACGTATTTGACAAAATTCAGTGTAAAAAGTCAGTGTTTTTAAATTTATAACAAAGCGTGGGTTTACACCAACTTTATACATGGAATATTGTTGTCAACCGTTAGAAGTTTCTATTCTTGTCAACAAAGGTTTGTTGTCAACGAAAGAGAATTTTAAGCTAAAAAAAAATTAAAAGCACTAAATAAAAGTCATTAACTATTCAGTAAAACCACAAACTAAAAAACATTGACCTAGAACTTTTACAAAGAGTAATTTCCCCTCACCTGTAGTTGGTGCTGATGTTGTTGCTTCATCTAAATAAGAAAAAATGAATTAATTAGTAAAACTACAAAGTGAAAAACATTAAATAGACAACGAAGAACATTTACAAGGAGATATTTCACCCGTGGTTGATGCTGATGTTGTTGTTTCATCTAAAATAGAAAAAATTAATTATTTAGTAAAACTACAAAGTGAAAGAGATTAAATAGACAACGGAGAACATTTAAAAGGAGATATTTTACCTGTGGTTGGTGCTGATGTTGTACTTGCATCTAAAAAAGAAAAAATATTAATTTGGTAAAACTACAAAGGGAAAAATATTAAATAAAGTTAAGTCATTTAACTGAATTTCTTGCAAGAGAACCAAATGATTCAAATTTTGTAATCATCAGTCCATCAATCATTAAGATTAAACGTTAAACTTTTTGTAAACGAAAACGAAAATCGCTTATGAGTTTTGTGCACAAAGAAATCATTTCTGAATTTCCTGGCAGTACTTTTTTTTAATTATAAACGACAATGAAAGTCTGGTTTTAAGAATGTAGAGCTACAGTCACACTTCTGCACATGCCGCCTCTAGATGCAAGTCCATCAACATGTAATGCTGGCGTTATGCAGTGTAAAATGCCATGCTGTTTTAACAGCTGTGATGGAGACACATATTTTTAGAAATATAAAGATAATTACTGCACATGTATGCATTTATACAACATTGCTCATTATTGTCATAGTCGAGAGGTAGTTCATTGTATAAAAGCATGTTAATTTGCTTTAAAAATCTTACTAATGAACAAACTTACCAAATGAGCAATATTTTCCGGTGAAACCATGACGACATTGACATTTATAAGGATCAGAACCAGGTCCATCTTTCAAATCAATTATCGCTTTTCCATCATTTTTGCATAATTTCTTGATGTTAACAGGTATCTATAAAAAAATATAAAAGCTTTTAGATGTATATTGTGTTAGATTAAATTCAAACAAATTTACCTCTCTTTGAGGATTCAGTAATTCATAAAATGTCCATGAGTTATCATTGCAATTCTGAATGTTGTGAAGTCGTTTGCTGGTCAACTGACAATTTACGTTTTCTATCGTCCTGTCTCTTCGAAAGTTCACTCCAACGCAAAATGGTTCTTGTAGACATTTCAATGAACATGATAAAATTGATGGAGAATTTGTTTCAAGTAGAACATCTTTCATAAGAGAGCATGTCTCTAAAAATGTGTGATTTAGAATACATTATAATTTGCTGTTTTTGTCAATGAAATACTAAAAAATTAGTTTATTAGGTTTCTTCTCATATAGTGTTTCTTTACACAGTAGGAAAGGTGATAGACTAATTACTTTTAAAAATATTTCAAAGGTAAATGTTTTGTTGACTGTCCAATAAAAATTGCAGGATAGTGAGAGACACAAATAAAGTTAAGCTTTTATGCCTTCAACATATCTTCCATGTCTATCGATGTAATTTTTATAACGTTAAACTCTGCTTTAGAATGGTCATGCACGTCTTCGGCATGTCATTCATGTTCATTGATGAAAGTTTGATAGAGCCAAACAATGTTTTAAAATGATCATGAATGCCTTCAAAATGTCAAACATGTGTGTATGAATAAGAACACTTGATAGTGTTGAAGGCTGTTTAGAAAAAACAATCGTCGCAGGGTCATTCCATGAAAAACTTTATGAGGAGTGGAAGCTATTTAGCTCAGTTAGAAGATTGATGAAAGTGTAAGCATGCTATACTTAATGATTCAATTTTATGCTATGGCTCGATTTGCATTCAAAAGAGGTGCTTAGGTGTGGAGGCCCCCTTCTTCACGATCTGGAGGCGGCTGTGCTCCCCTTCTGCTTTTGAAAATGAATAATTCATGAGAACACAGTTGTCGAAAACTTGACTATGATCGAAGTACAACCAAAATTATTTGATTTAAATTCTTGATAATCGATAACTTTTCTTCTCTTAATGTTTCACATGATCATGCCCCCATAATTTCTTTATGCTGGGTATTTTTTGATAAGAACCACTTACCGCAGGTAACCAAATTTTAAATTATTATTTTCACAAAAATAATGTGCGCTTAAATTAAGTGCTGTGACGAAAGAGATCTTTTAAAATGTTTAAAGTAAAACATCATAATCCGACGTCTTACCGATTGATAGTGAAAAATAAGATAAAACAATTTATCAGTGCTGCTAATGTCTGTAAGTGGTGAATTTAACTGACTTTTAGTTGCCTAAGTTTGGGAGACTTTCACTGCTGTTTAAGAATGCTAGTAATCCAGTTGTAGAATAAGAGTATTTAGTAATTAGTATACAACTATACATAATTTTATAAAAGTATTGTTACTTTCTGAGAATCATTTATAAATTAGAAGTTACTGTAAAAACTGACTGATTTTCTTGCAGAACTTTTGCTTTTAATCTGCCGAGTTTTGTCACACATAGTGCAGTAGGAATGTGTGAAAGCTTATTTCAAATATAATAGTGATCATTACTTGTAAGTTATATGATTTTTCATCTGTTAGTCAATTCAGTAAACGTTGTGAACATCTATATGATAATTTTATACGATGACTTATGTTTAGATGACTTCAGCCTCGTCAAGACCCCCTTGCCTCTAAAAAATTTAGCCTTGGTCAGCACTGGTCTGTATCAATAATAAAGTCAACGTCTTAAAAAGTAGAAAAAAACGTTTATTTACAAAGACTTTTTTGAATTTTGTACAATATGTTAAATTTATTCTCAAATTATTTTTATGCCACCACCGTGTCTTGAATGAAAAATAGAAATATATCTTATTTTTAAGCTGTAAAAAGTAAAATTTGCTGGAAAGTTTAAGTACTTTCCTTGTATGTTATAAAATCGTAAAAAATATTCAAGGTTTTGAAGTTTAAAACAAACACAAACCTTTTTCCAGCAAACGCATTATGGTCATCTCAGAAGGATAGTAAGACTTTTTCACAGCGATTATGTTAAATGTAGCTGTACTTAACAGTAAATATAATGATGAAATAGTGAACATTTTGAAAGACGAAATTTTGAACATCTTTAAAGACACAAGTATATAGCTTTAATGAGAAATTACAGGTGAAAAAAACAGAAAGAATTTTTTGTTTGCCACCTGATGTTTGCACCATTTAATTTTGCATGAATGGCTGTTACAAGCTTTTAAATGCCAATTATTGATGTGTGAAAACAAAAATGCCAATTTAACGCAAATTTCACTATAATTAATGCTATCCATGAAAAATATCTAACACCTCAATGACAACCTGCACATTTATTATGTCTAACATCTAATGGAAGCACAAGCAAGCATTCGAAATTTTCTCTGTAATATGAAGTTTGTATTGAACTTGCCACAAAAAGACAACATTTCCTTTGAAATTATTCGCTTTGCGCGGGGCCCTCAAAACCGCTGGGCTCCTGGCAACTGCCTTGACGCCCTCCTCTTAATACAGCCCTACTTCAACCGTCCATAAAATTGCGTATCAATTTCACATGCAGAGTGGATATAAGCTTTTTGAAAGTAGTGGATTATAATTATTGTGTTTGATTTTCTTACTAAAGAGATAATTTGCATTTTTGGGTAACTTTACTTCTTATTGTAGGAAGGACTTTATGTAAGACATACGAAACATACCGTTCATCCAAACTCCAAAAATGGCGGGGTTTAGGAAGATTCTTTTGTTAAAATGTTTTCTTTCATTATTTGATTTATTTTTCATTGAAAAACAACCTGATACTTTGAATGTTTTAAGCATCCTTCTTCCTTATTCTACGGCAGGCTCAGCTAACGTCAACTTTACTGTTTGGGCACAGAGCGGTTGTTATAAATGGTTCGTTGAACTGAGTATCTTTGCACGTGTTTAATTTTATAATTGACTTTCAATTGAGTCTTTGTTTATATGTATATTATGAAATATGAAAGGTTTAAAAAACGGCTTTGATAAAGATGATATTATTCCCAATGTGTGTACTGGTAAAATTCCTTAGAATTAAGAAACATGAAAGACTTATAACGTATAATGTGATTTAATTTTAGGAGTTCTTCAAGACCAGAGATTGCCGAAATTCGACCTGTTATTGGTATTTCACCAAAGAAAGGTAAATTTTGTTTTGTTCCCACTAAATTATGCTTTAAATTATTCTGTGTACAGTCAGTGTGAGTGTACATGAATGATAATGAATAAAAAGTCCAGCAAGACTAGTATTGATTTCTAAAAAGAAAGATTATTTATTTTTGTCATTAGGTCAAAATGACTGTAGTCAAAAGGCTGTAGTCACATCACAATCATCAAAACCTGAAAAGCAAACTGCGATAATTATTGCTGAAGAGAAAGGTTTGTCAAATCTTGATGATTTTAAACTATTCGTGTCATTGTATGAGGGATTTTTTTAATAAAATTGAAATTTGATCATGTCTAGTAATAAATGATCTCTGTGACAGATGTGTTTACTTGACACTAAAATTAGCTATTTTCAGCAAAAAAGAGATCTTAGATATTAAATATTTTTATTTGGTGTGTACAATCTCCTTAATTTCACGAAAAAATGCAAATGCCAATTGTAGTCTTGTAATGTGATATATGTCATTGTCTGAATGTTTGTGTATTAATGAGGAAAGAGTAATTTCTCATTGTAACACAAGCACAAACATCTTGTATTAAAAGATATATCTGCAATTTCAGCTGTAAGAGTGTCTCCCTTTCACTTCAATACATTTAAGCAAAGATAGCGATTTTATCTAACTTTTTTTTACTTTCAGTAACTGGCAATGTCATTCGTGCTGATGTATTTGTCAACAAAATAAATCGTATTCTAATCCAAACTACAACACGTGAACTTTTACTGGGACAATCACCAGAAGTTCTTCAAGTCTTTGCGTATGATGACACAGATAATTTATTTTCTTCCATTGATGGCCTTGTCTTTGACTGGGAACTTATTACTATTCCTGGATCAATGGATGCCTCTAGCATATTAAGGTACGTAGTACAACTGCATCAATACATTGGACAAGATAGATAAGTATGTTGAGTGCTAAAAAATGTTTTAATCACTTTGTATTTAGGATTGTCCCATTTGCTGAATCAATTAATGAAACCTCAGCTGCTATTTATGCTTTAGAAGCCGAGGTAAACTCTATGTTTACCACATTGCTGTTGTTGAATTTGGACTTAACTCATGAAAATTGTTTATTTTAAGTGTTTAAGGGGCAGCAGTATCATTGTCGAAGGTATAACAACAGGAACAGCACTGGTCAGAGCAAAATTAAGTCATCCTACTTTCCAGGTTTGCTAAATATATAAATTATCATTAATTTATTCACAACTTACACTAGACAGTTTAAGTTTGCCTATTTAAGAATTCTTTAGGCAATTTGTAAATTGTTGCGTTTATTGTAAATTTTGGTGGGTTATGTAAAGGATTGTATTTTGGAACACTTTAGTCTTTCTTGAACAGCTTTATGTGTGAACCATAGTCCATACGTCGTAGATCAATTCACAAATCTAACAACGAGCCAGACAGTGTTGTTTTCCATTGTGCAAACAATTCACACGTATTCAAGATTTCCTATGTTATATACTTTGTTGCGTATTTTGACTCTGAAGATGACTACAGCTAAGGTTGTCGAAACGTCAGTCAACAACAACAAAAACAGTCCTTCTCAGGACCATACCAACCTGGACGATCTACATTTACAAACATGAAAGAGAAAAGTGTTTCAGATCAAGTTAAATTAAAAGTCAAAATTGGATTAAAGTTAAATTACAAGCTATATTTTCTCCCTCCGGATAGCGCATTTTGATTTAAAAGAAGCAAAATTCTATACATTGATTGTGTTCACGCTGTCGTATAATAAATGTTGACGATACATGAATTTAATTCTTAAATGAAAGTGAAAGGATCACAGTCACGAAATCGTTCTGTGCTAGATTTAAAATGTTCGTTATGTAAGAGAACTGATTTATTTCATGATAATTGTGACGTTTTTCTCTACGATTTCCATTCGTGCGTGCAGCAGATAAGTTTAATGAAATGTTTGTGTGGAATCAAAATGATGCGGTTTAATTATAAAAAAAATATTTCAACTCAACATCGTCTTTTCATAAACATGGTTTTATTACGTATTTAAGTGCCCAACTAGCGTAAGTTTTTATTATTGTTCTTGAATAAAAAATTTTAATTCTTCGGTCAAATCGTCGGCTTATTTAGACGCTTTTTAATGGACCTTGTCCGTCTTGGCAAGAGGTCTGGGTCTAGCCTAATTCTGACGTCATCCAAGGTAGTTGGCATATACTTATATTTCGTATTAACGAATCCTGTGCGTGACGTCACAAAGATTAGCTGCTCCAGACTTGGGGCAAAGTCATTGAAAGATGTCGACGCTCATTTTAATCTTTACCATAAAAACAGAACGAAATTAGAAACTTTTTCATTTATCACACTAAAATGCAATATCGCAAATGGAATTTATTGCTGGAAGGAAAACTCTAAGATTGTTTAATGATGTTTCTTGTACTTTTACATTCATGTTGTCTTTTAGGATGTTCAATCTGACGAAGTAAAGTTATTGGTGATTGATAACTTAATAATAATTCCATCGAGAGATGTCTACATTATGATAAATACTGCTGTCAAATACACAGTCAAAAGATTTCGACAAAACTCTATGATAGGTAAACATAATTGCATTTCTTATTCCTGTGCTGTGGTTTACTTTAATAATATCAATGATTTAAGGAAAGTAATTGTACAATTAAAGATTGTAAAACATAATTTTATCATTAGATGTCGAAATGCCGTCAACACAATTTGAGTTTGTTCTCAGCAATACAACTGTTGCAGTTCTTCATGAACCATCATCTAATGTTATTGGTCGTGTTCTTGGTTATACACAAGTCACCCTTGTTGATAAAAGTATCTTTTTGTGTGTACTTCTGGACTGAGGGGGTAGGTTTTTGTTCTTTGGTATGTACAAGTCACCCTTGTTGATAAAAGTATTCTTTTGTGTACACCTTGTGCACGCCATGGACTGGGTGGGTTGACAATTGTTGCGCGGAGGGGGGGGGGCTAACATTTATATATGCATGTTCTTTATTAGCTTCTATTAAAATAATTGTGTATGTACGTATTTCTGTTTCACCGTACAATACAATAGACAGCATGTACTTATGGTACGTCAGTAAATACTTGTAGTACATTACTTAGGTACTTTTATGGATACTTTGTTTAATCCTTAACGTTATGATGAGACATGAAAGATCAAATATCTACAAGACAACCAACAGTTGGTATTTATGTTAATGAACCTGATCATCTAGGTAATTCTTAATTTCATAACTGTTTAAAATGATTATGGACGTCGTGATTTGCACGTGCTTAATTCATTGTTGAAGCGTGTTCGTGTGACGTCACTGAGCGCAAGTTGTGACGTTTGAAAGGCAAAACTTTTGGCGCCAAATTTTGTTTTCAAACACGAAAAGACGTTAAAATTTGCGCTAAAAAAGCATTTGGAAAAATTGTTATTGATTTCATTGAATGAAATAGTTAAAGCATATTTACCTGTGACGTTTTACACGAGTTGTACATGTTTAAGTTTTGTTTTGTAAAATATCATTGATATTTTCAGCTTAACATTTATAGAAATCTCACAACTCTCTCGTATTTACTTGAACATTTGCTAAGTATTTGAAAACCACATCAATAGTCTTATGAAAGAAATCTTCAATTTTCGTGCGTTGCTTAAGCTGTTGTTACTGTTGCTTCATCACGTAAATATTCATCACGTAAATATTCATCACGTAAATATTCATCACGTAAATATTTATCACGTAAATATTCATCACGTAAATATTCATCACGTAAATATTCATCACGTAAATATTTATCACGTAAATATTCATCACGTAAACTCAAGCAAAATGAAGAAAGTTAACATAAAATGTTAACATTGAGATTATTCCGTCTCTATGATTTTTCAGGATTTTCTATCACTTCCGGCGATGTTTGGATCTTAGAGAGTAAACGTGAATATTTTGTCACAGT